CTTTCCAAAAATGAAAGCTGCCAATCATATTAACCTTCCTTTCCCTCTTCTTGGCCCCACCTACAGTGATTAATCCAAGAGATGAGCACATAATCTAAACTGGGCCAAACAGAATCAATTGCCAAGATTTTAAAATTGGAATTAGAGAATACTTTTCCTTTCCTGGTGCTTTACTACAAAGTCAACTTTAAGAAGCCGCATAGGGGGAAGCTGAGAATAGAAGGAGGAAGATGAGTGACAGCATCAGAAATCCTAGTTCCAGTTTTTCCCAAACTCAGCTCTTCTGCAGTCCTAGCAGTGTATATTGCCCATTCCCCCTTCCCCAATACCCTCACACTTTTGTTTTCTTGAACTAGCAGTAGTTGAGCTTTTATCACAACCAAAGTGACTAATGCACTCTCATAAATACCTGCTTTCATGCCAAATCTCTATTTTATTCTCACCAATTTTCATCATTTCCCCCTTGCTAATTTTTTTTCTATCAAAGTGAATAATACTGTCCTCTGAAAATTTCTGAATTTTATTAAAAATTAATTTGCATAGGATTTGTAATTTAGATAGTCTACCTCTTTTTTGTAAATGGTAAAACATTCTTTTGAAATGAAGAAGATTGATTCATTTGAATTATTTCATGGATCTATTTCCATGTAAATATGTATCATATTCTTGGGTAGTTTAATGAGAAAAATACATAATGATGAAAATAGGATTATAGATTTGATTTTATATCACTTTGTGCTGTCCTAGACTTGAATCTTAGAATTAAGTTAATGAGCTGGCTTGACAGATACCCAACAGGCGTTACAAGTAGGATATGATAAATATTTTGAGGTCGAAATGGAAGATATATGTTTGCTTGGGGAGGGGTCAAAAGGGGAAAGGTTGTTCTTAGTCTGCCTTTCTGATAAATCTGTTTCCCAGATTCTGCTCATTTCTGTTTTGCTCAACACAAATTAGATATATGATTGAAGTAAATATGATATGAAGTAAATATTCTAAAAACTTTACCTGAGTGTTCTTTTGCTAACCAGTTTGGATTATATGGATCTGTAAAACAACATGAAGTAAGGGCTTTAGACTACTGCAGTAGTGCAGAGGGTTTATGTATAGACAATTAGAAAATTGATATGTTGGATCAGAAGATGGAATCCACCAAATATATGTATGTGTATATTTTTCTGAGGAGGGTGTGTAGCTTTAGTCAGATTCTCTAAGGCATTTGTAACTCCAAAAAGGTTAAGAATCCATTACAGTTTCTTGCTCTTTTCTTCCCAAACAAAAAACAAAGAAAGAAAAACAAAATCTGAAAATCACTGAATTCACTACTCAAGAAATCTATTCCAAGAATATTAACGTTCAAATACATTAGCATTGTGTTACCTATAGCATTGCTAATAACAAAGTACATAATCAAACATGAACCTGTGCATGCATACATATGTGTGCATCACACATTATACCCTCATACTCTTTGGTCTCTTTGGCTAAAATAATAATCTTAGTATAGTTGTTAGCTTGTATAATAGTACTGAGATGTGAATTCAGGCCTTCCTATTCATATACTTTTAAGTAATCAAGCAATAATAATGTATAGAATAATTTACCTAGGTTTTCATTATGAAGTAGCTTCTTGGAGTCTAATGCGCTGATAATACTGGTGTTGATTTTAGGATTTCTGGAAAAAATTCCTCTTTTTTTTTTTTTGGTGAGGAAGATTAGCCCTGAGCTAACATCTGTTGCCAATCTTCCTCTTTTTGCTGAGGAAGATTGGCTCTGAGCCAACATCTGTGCCCATCTTCCTCTATTTTATATGTGGGATGCTGCTGCAGCATGGCTTGATGAGCAGTGCATCACTCCGCCCCCGGGATTCAAACCTGTGAACTCCAGGCCAGCTCCAAGATTCTTCTTCTTTAAACTATTTTTTTTTTCTTCTAAATCTCTATGTTTTTATCATATTTGTGGCAATATAATTACATTTGTTAGTTGACAGTCTTCACAGTTTATCAAAAAAACAAAAACAGAAACAAGAAGAGAAACCTTTATCAAGAAGTAGTATTAGTGTTGTGGTGAGAATATAAATAACCACAAACTCCTGTCCTGTCACCAACTATTTTTTATTACTTTTAATTAATTGTTTGTGGTAATACCTGTAATTAAAATTTTAAATGAATAAATACTTACTCAGTGAAAAATAAGTCTCTGGTCTATCCTTGTTCTCAAATTTCCAGTTCTTCTCCCTAAAGGTAGTCACTGTAACCGTTTTCTTATGTGTCCTTCCGAGTGGCTTTTCCTCTCTCTAGTTAGCATTTTAAAGCTTTCTTGACATAGATTTTGCACGTTTCTTATAAGTTTTATGCCTAAGTGTTATGGGCTGAATTGTTTCCCCCCAAAATTGAAGTCCTGACTCCTAGTACCTCAGAATGTAACTGTGTTTGGAGATAAGGCCTTAAAAGAGGTAATTGAGTTAAAATAAGGTCATTAGGATGGGCTCTAACCCAATATTTCTGTTGTGTCTATAAGAAGAGGAGAGTACAACACAGACATAAACAGAGGGAAGACATATGAAGATACAGAGAGAATATGGCCATTTACAAGCCAAAGGGATAGGTCTCAGAAGAAACAACCCTGCCGACAGCTTGCCTCAGACTTCTAGCCTCCAGAATTATGAGAAAATTAGTTTTTTTGTTTAAACCACCCAGCCTGTGCTACTTTGTTATGTCAGCCCTAACAAACCAATACAGATTTTGGTACTGGAAAGTGGAGTTCTGCTGTGACAAATACCTAAAAATTTGGAACTGAGAAATGGGTAGAGGCTGGAATAGTTTTGAAGTGCATGCTAGAAAAAGCCTAGATTGCCTTGACGAGATTGTTGGTTAGAAATATTGATGTCAAAGGAGATTCTGGTGAGGGTTCAGAAAGAAAAGAGCAGAGTTATTAAAAAAGCTTCTGTCATCTTAGAGATCCATATATCATCATGAACAGAATGTTGGTAGTTGTATGACCATTAAAGATGCTTCTTATGAAGTCTCAGATAGAAGTGAGGAACATGTTATTGGAAACTGGAGGAAAGGCGAACTTTGTTATGAAGTGGCAAAGAACTTGGCTGTGTTGTGTTCTAGTGTTTTGTGGAAAGTAGAACTTGTAAGTGATGAACTTGGATATATATCTGAGGAAATTTCTAAGCAAAGTGTTGATGATGCAGCCTGTTTCTCCTTGCTGCTTATAGGTAAATGTAAGAGGAGAGAGAGAAATTAAAGAAGGAATTGTTAAGAAAAATGGAAGCAGAACTTAAAGATTTGGAAAATACTCAGCCTGTCCATATTGCAGAAAAAGAAAGCTTGTTCTGGAGAGGCTACTTAGGGGGTGACTGGACAACCCTTTGCTAAAGAGATTATGGGCATGTGGTTTATGGATTCAGTCAGCCAGAAACCAGGAATAGAGATGGGATTATCCAGGAGAGATCTGTAGAGGACTGTCTTGTCTGATGGCTTGGACCCCCATGCATTGCATGGGAGGCAACAAGATTTCTGAGAACTTCGTACCAGCAAAAATGCTGCCAGTTCGGACTGAAGAGGACAGAGATGGGACAGAATGAGAGAAGGCTGTCAGACTTGTGAGGTTCTGCTGGATGGGCCAGTAGAGCTATTCAGTTTTGAACATGTGTTATCTTGAAGGAAAAGGAAGAATGGACCCCCCAGAGCACACAGGTCTGGGGAGCAGTGCTGTCGTCTTGGTTGGTTCCAGAGATGTTGAGGCCACTGCTTTTCAATCTAGTGAGAGATAGTTAAATAGTCAAGCTAAAAATTGAATATTGCTTTTACAACTAATGGAAGCATTTAAAAATTTAAAAGTAATTGAAAGAAAAACAATTCAGGTAATTTGGCAATTATTATTATAATTACAGAATATTAGTGAACTTATGATGAACAATATATAAGATAAAGTCAGAAATAATTTTTGTATTCTTGACCACATGATACAGAGAAAAAGCAAAAGTCAAAGTCAACCCATTAATCTTCAGACTCTCATCTATTTGAAGACAGTTTTACATTAAATTCAAATTAACCTTAATATATAAAAAATTGCCACAAATGAAAAACAGTCACAAAATTCTGGAGAAATCTTCTATCCTTCTGAATGAATGCAATTACTTTGTCAGTTTTTATGATATATTGGTAAAAGAGTGTGTTAAATGACGACTACAGTGATGTGTTTGTTTACAGATAGGGTCGCCCTTATTCAAATTAATAAACTATTACTCTTGGTCTGTATCAGAGTTGTACTGTTTAGGCTTCAGTATCTTTAAAAAGTGAAATTGTTTGATAGTGAATATTCATTTTTTCTAAATAGACATTTTCTTTTCTTTTTTTTTTTATAATTTTATTTATTTATTTTTCCCCCAAAGCCCCAGTAGATAGTTGTATGTCATAGCTGCACATCCTTCTAGTTGCTGTACGTGGGATGCGGCCTCAGCATGGCCGGAGAAGCGGTG